GCGTTAAGGTCGGACCAGGTGCACTTTTTCTTTTTTTCAAATTTTGGCTCCCCGATCCTTTTTCATACACGTTTTGCGAATCTCATTGGACATTTTTTGACTTACGGAAGGCGAGACAAAGAATTGCATCTTGTTGCTTCTTTCGACGCCGGGTGAACAGGGACCATGAAAATATTAAAGATGTATAAATGTGAGCGTTTGTTTTGAGAGGAGCGTCAAATAACATTGAACCGGAGAATGAACATGTTGCGAGCATTTGAAAGCGTGAGTTTGAGTACTTACTCTTGCTCCAGCTCTCACATTGTCCGAAAATAAGGACATTGTAGCTGAAATTCCCAGCCATGGCCTAATTATCAGATACCCAGTAGGAACTGTAAGTTGGGTTTAACATATTTCGTAAGGACACGTGATTTCACTTATTCTCTTAATTTATAATTTCTAGACATGAAGAAATATTGCAACTTCTATGTATTTAGAAACCTGGCACATTATTTTCATTGCTTATTTTTCGTCGACTTCGCGGAGGTAGCTCTACCTGGACCATACATATCAAACCCATCAACACATAGACCGGGACCAACGCAACGGTTTTATACTATGTTCAGACCTGGGAGGGAGAAGCAGATAGCACACACGGAATTTATGTTATAGCTTGTTTTTCTTCTAATGAAAATGTGTGCCATTGAAATCCAATCAAAATAGGCGTAGCAAAATAGTTATTATTTGACATTGTCCAGTGTGCAGTGAAAAAAATTTACTTTTCTGTTTTGTATTTTTTCCCTTGATTTTTTTCCGTCGATCTTGTTTTCCGTGCTGAGCACCAATGCTACCGACGCCAGGGAGGCAGCTCCCACACCTGGACCTTACCTATCGACCCATCAACTCATGAACCGGGGACCAACGGCTTTACTTCCCTTCTGAAGGAAGGCCTGATCAGAGATGTTATGCCTCAGAACATCCCGGCGACGTCGACTAGGATTAAACCCAGGCCTGCTGGGGTGAGAGATAATCACGCTTACTACTACACCACCAGCGCCGCTATGTTTTGTATTTTGTTATGTCTCTAAATATTGTAATGAAAACTTTGGTTAATGGTATCTTTCAAAACCGGATTGGAGTAAATTCAATGAATGAATTTAAAAAAACGACGTCTCATTGAATAAACACTGGATAGTACACTTTTTCATAAATTACTTTGCGCAAGATTTCAGTATCGCCTTCTGTATTAATGTTCAACTGTAAGAAAAGCATCATCAACTGCTTCTTCCTCCCAGGTTCAGACTACATAGTTATAAAATGTTATAATAATTATGGACAGTAAAAATGTGTCATCAAGATAGGCTTATAATATGTTAAAACTGCTCAATCTGGCCAGTGTTTTACTTCCCCACACTGAACAATGGAATTTTTTTCAAAACAAAAAATGTAATTTAAATCAATATCTCAAAGTTCCGCTATTTATACATCAACAGATGTAAAAAAAATCAAAAGGATCATTTTAGAGTAGTTTGGATGAAAATACCTAATTTTGCTGTACCACTGAAACCAAAACTTTCCGTATTTTTACCAGATCGAAGCCACTTCAACTGATTTCGCAGGGTTATTTTTTTCGTTTAGAAATGGTATGAGACATTCACCCATATTCTTGTTTTTTGTATGGAAAATACGGTTCGAACGAAAACAAGAATATGGGTGAATGACTTTGCAAAAACCCAACCAAATGTTTTTTTTTTTCATGCATTTTGAATGTGTGTACTAGGTACTCCTGTACCTGAAGAATTCCAAAGTTTATGTTCAATTTTTTACATACGATTTTGATCTTAGCTAGTGATAGATTGCTCTTTTGTGGTTTTTTAATTACTTTTTATTATAGAATGTTAACGTAAAATCGTGAGCGCTCTTAAGCGCACCTTCAGTAAAAACACAGAGTGTGGCTCTGCGGTGCGGAAATTTTGAATTTTGATAGGGGGATTAAACTATCTTTTATAAGATGGGTTAACTGAAAATGTAGCCGTAAGCATTCTATATTAAAAAGTAATTAAATACTCCCAAAAGAACGATCAATATCTGAATTCTTAGCTTTCAACTGAAATTGGTTTTGCAAAACATGGTTGACATTTACTGTGTAAAGTTATTGTTTCATAATTCTTGTTCACTATACAATACATCTTAAAACTATAGTCAAAAGGTACAACACAATAAACATATTGGGGGCGACCGCGACGTAGTGGTTAACATCCATACCTCTCACGCCAAAGTCACGAGTTCAAATCTCACCCCCGGACAAATCACGAATGACCCAAGAGTGTTAAAGTGACCATAATAAAAAAAATAATAATAAACATATTATCTTCCGCTGTCCAATAAGCCTTCTTCATCAGAACGGGATCCACTTCCAGTAGTTTCATTGTATGGCAGTATCGCCAACGGGGAGCAGAGCGCTTCCATTGGAGCAATGGACGCAAAGCGAGGTCAGCACTCACACACTCATCACGAAACGGTTGCTTTCCTAAATCGACGACGCATCGACCGAAAGAACTGGTAATGCAGAACAATGAGGAGGACCACACGATGGTTGTTGCCGGGGAAACAGCCGATCGGGTGACACACATCGAGAGTGGTCTGCTTCTGTCGACAGCCGAGTGAACACTGACTGTGTAAAGTTGATCATTACACAATTAGAGGCACTAAACGAAAACCCTTAAAACCCTACACTAGCCTAAACTACCCCAAAATGCTTCGTTCCGTGGAAAACCACCTAGTCATTAAATTCCTTAAAAGCTACCTTTTGATGCATAAATATCACCTTAATATCCAGTGGCATTTTGAGACATTGAATGAAATGATTTTTTTTTTTGAAGACAAAAAATCCCACTATGCATTAGAGCAAAATGGTACTTTTGATGGACAAAAATCGCAACGCTCAACCCACACATCCTAGAGGTTTGGTGTCTTGGGCTCAGTGTTCAGGTGGATACACACTAAGATTATTTTACCGAAATCTTTGAAATTTTACCGAAATCGTTCGGTAAACAGTTCGGTGATTTTTCACAGATTACCTGTTATTTTTCACAGATAGGGTAGAGAACTGCTTCGGCCTAATCGCCCATTTTGGGCCTATCGAGCAGAAAATTTCAAATAAATCCATGATTTCAGAGTTAACAAGTCAATTATGCGTTTGGTACGATACTTTAGTTAATAAGCTACGGAACGCGGTCAATGAGAACGCGTGATATGAAGGTTTGCACCCATTATTCCCAAAAACAAAAGAAGGGCTCCGACCGAATCAATTTTTATCTTCTTTCGATAGTTAAGCCGAGTTTAGAATCCGTAGGCCGAGTTTGGCGTCAAGAAGCAGTGTAAGACTTTTGACAATATCTTAACAATTGGTTTCTCTTTATGAAATCTTCTGGTACATACGGAAAGCTAAATAAATCAGTAATAATAATTTTCCATTCGGTGATAAACTGCGCTAGATTAAGAAAGACTAAGTGCGGGCTGTGCTGAATAGGCCGGAAATAAAGAAAAACTTAGTTGAAGATGCTAATTTCAAATAACAGCCAGTGGTGGCGGGGAGGGGCACCCCTCACCATCCCTCTCCAAAGGGGGAGTTTAGTAAAGAGAGATGAGAAAACTGATTTGTACCTTCCTTAAAGTTGTCTAGCTCGCTTCCTACTTCTATATGCAATTTTTCACACTGCCGTACTCTAAACGGAACTATCAATTCTATACTTTCATCTCCTCATCTATTGTATAAAATTACCACGTTAAAGCCTAAACACAATGTGGGCGGAAGCGGAACGGAAACGGAAAGTTTGACAGTTGTCACAAATGACATCAAGATGCCTAACCGAAGTCGATTTGGTTCTAACTAGTTTTCAATCCGACAAGTTGGCTTACTCAGATTGGGCTTTTCCGCTGCCGCTGCCGTTCCGCTTCCGCTGTCATTACGCTTGGGCCTTTAGTCTGTTATTTGAAATTAGCATCTTCAACTATGTAAATCGTTGATTTCACGCAGAAGTAATACTAAACATATAGTCAAAGTAAAGAAAAACTGTTTATTTTTAGCAACTACAGCATACTTACTTACCTCAAGTCTCAAGAAATCTTCGAAAATCTAGCACTTATTTCCCGAAATTCACTGTTAAAAACAATATTTACGTCGAACGCGGAAAAAACTGAATCAAACGAGAACAGTTTTGTGTTATTGTTTACATTTTTGTTCGGGAACGAGGAAATGGTTGGTAGTTATTTTTGCAATCATGGCCCGGGGAACGGACCCAACAAATAAATGCTGAATTAAAATGAACTATTGTTGGCTTAATAAAAGAATATTGTTATTTTAACAACAGTTGCAGTTGAAGAGTGGCTTATTAAAATGAAAAGAATCTTATTTTGAATGTATTATCGAAACAATAAAATGCAATATAATTTCAACCGGAATTGTTTGTTTAAATGCAAATGAAGTTTTTTTTTTGGTTCAATGCAAACAATTTTCTGTCCGTGTAGTGCCGAGATAAGGGAACTTACTTTTGGGTACATTTTTTCTTACCGTGTATGTACTAGCAGTGTCACATAAGAGTGACTGGATATTGGCAAAGACCCAGCAGGCTGTAAATTTACGATAACAACCAACATGAACACGCAAGAACTTTCCAATCACTAGAAGGTTCAGTGACAATACGTTAAGCACAACCTCTTTAGAATACCACCCAACAACCCCAGGAGAACGGAAAACAGCAACACTCCACCCCTACCGGCTTTCCATCGTCTCACGCGATGAGAATCCAAAAATCATAATGAACGGAATGAACCCTTTCAATTGAGAAAGAGCGCTCTCTGCAGTCACTCACTCTGTTACTCTCCGATTCTCGTTCTCTCACAATGTTGTTGCGCTTGTTTCACCAAGCCAGCAGAGGGCGACCGAAGAGACGACGCTCAATCGAGATTGGTTCAATACGTCTCTTCAAACGCTCCAGCGTTTAGATGTGAGACGACGTCGAATGTGAACGGAAGTGGAATGCTAAAACGCGCGCGCGATTTTCGTTGCCGGATAGTTTTGCACTAGAAGAGAAACAGCCTCCACCAGCTTCCTATGGGTTCCATCTTTTGCCTTGTTCGACAATTTGTAATTACATATCGCGTTATCGTCGCGAGCGTTTAAGATTGTGCTTCGTGGGAAAACTATTGTCGAAGACAAGCGGCGGAAAAGGGAGAGATGAAAATAGAAGTGTTGTGCCAAGAGGAAAAATTTACGGAAGCAATTTTTATTATCACTGGCTGAAAAGCCCAATGGAATCGAGCAGCACCCGTGTATCAAGTTGTTTCTTGTGTGCACTTCTAGTGAGTTTTTTTTAGTGTTTTGCGAACTCGCAGGCACTTAGTTACGGAGAATGCTGAAACAAGCACCCGTATGTTGAGCGGAGAAAAGTTCAATCGATGTGTTAGTGTACAGTGAGCATGCAGAGTGTGGGACGTGCATAACTCGTGCACTTCACCTCCAGGCTAACGAGGTGCATCTCGCTTCGCTTCTTTATGCCTTAACCTGATTTGCCCCAACAACACCGGAACAGAGTGGGCGATAGTTACACATGCCAGCCACCTAGCGTTTCCAAGTTTAAATCAATCGTCACAAAATCAGCCATCTGTGATTCACGATCACCAGGTTTAGTTTTTGGAATTCACCAATTGTAGAAGCGGTTTCTTTTCAACAATTTGCAGAAAAACAAAAATATATACGCGTAGGATGAGGCGGGTGATGTCATAAATTCAAATTCAAAAATTTGCTCAACTGCATGGGGTGGTAAACAGAAGCAACAACAAGGTTCAGTTAATTAACACCGAAGAAAACAGTGTTGTGTAAAACGATCACCTCTAATTGGAAGCAACGTCTCGTAACCAGTCTTCTTCTGCAATGATCGCAGTATGGAAATTATGTTGTCAGTGCGTGCAAGGCAGAAGAAAATAAGAGTAATTGTTTTAAAAAATGTACCCAGCCAAGGCAAAAGTCTAGAGTGATTTATGAACGTTTTTGGATAGTTTCATGTATTGGTGTGCTTTTATAGCTCTCCTCTTTGGTATCGTTTTCGACACTTGAGCCTTTAGCTCCGGCAAATAAAATATACAAGTTAAATACGATCCTTTGTGTGTAGTAGTTGTAAACAAGAATTGAATGTTTGTGTATCCCATAAAATACGTGTATAAAAAGTGGTTTACACCTTCGTGTATCTGTGTGTGAATGTATCTAATCCGAATAAGTAAAAAACAAGATCCAGATCAAAGTGTGGAGTCAAAACAAACAAAGTCTGAATAGAGTACACTGCCTTTATCGAGCGCTGTTAAACCAATTTAAGCGATCGGAAACAGTCCCACCGAGAAACTCCCAGCACAAAACGGTGCAAAATGGCTGCCACCTTTGTAAAGCCACAATTTATCACTGTCATCGGTGTCATGCTCATATCGTTATTCAGCAGTTAAATGATTTAAGCATCACAGAGAGACTCTCATCGAAGGTTGCAGTTTCACAACAACAGAGCAGAGGCAGTAAAGCTCAATTCGTTGCGTCGTTGGGAGAACACAACTTCCGGAGCCATACACGTTTTATTGCTATTAGAAATAAAACAAAAAAGTCACAAACGACGCTTGGACGTCAAATAGCGGTGTGTTCACTGGAAGTGACAAGCATAAACAAAACTGCGAACAGGCGGTCTGTGAGGAAATAAAACACCACCGCAAAACCCGACCACGTTGCATTGTCAGCCGGCTGAAAATATTATTCGTCGTCAAGAGTTGCAAGTATGTATTCGCTTAGTTTACCTTCAATACAGAGCTTCACGACGCTCAATTTATTGTCATGTGGCAATCTCATTGGTAATTTGAAACACGAGTATCGCGCGCTGCGTTCCACAGAAGTTGGCAAGTAGGGCACTGTTGGCTGTTGTCTTTGTAATATTTGCCATTTGATGTGATTTTGCCCATTTGTGGTTCGTTCGTTCGATTTGTGGGGTAATTTTTGGGGCCGATTTGTATATTCAAGGAATTGATCATGCAAATCAATATTTCAATTGCACTAAATTCAATAATAACTTAATCATCATTACCATCAAGTTTTGAGTTTTCTTATGTTAATTTTTAAAGAACTGTTTAACAACCAACCCTTGGGTAATATTTGAGGTTATGGATATCAGTCTCTGATGCTCAAAAATAGATTCCTACCATCTTTAATAATAATAATAAAAAAACAGGTTTTAAATTAGTATGATACGTTTATGCTGAAATTATTTTGCCGTATACAAGGTCATTCGCTATCTAACAATTAAGTTTTTTAGACTTTTCGTCAGCATTCATAGAATTCAACTTAAACAGGATTTCATTACTAGAACAACTAGATGTAGATGTGAAATATTAGTTTCTAAATATTTCCAGAGCTACATATTAAAAATATATATTTAAACTTAAAATATTTAGCAATTCTAAACAGGAAGCACTTGTTCAATCGGAGACTTCCAGAAGACTATCACTGAAAACTCATTAAAAATCAACATCAAAATTGAAATTCTAAGCAACCTGTTAATTTTCCCACTAATTCAGAAGAGGACTTTGAGCCAAAATGTCAAATCCCATAGAACCAGAACTGAAAGAAGGCTTATTCTGGCAATACAGGTCGGACTCGATTATCCGGAGTATCGATTTTTTTTCACCCGGATAATCAAATCCTCCGGATAATCGAATCACAAGAAAAAAAAATTAAAAATCTGCCCCTCCTCTTAACTATTGTTAAAATAATCATATTGCATATTATAATACAAAATTATTTCAAATGTCTGCATTTTATTATATTATTATTATTATTTTATTAGTTTTTAACTAAAAAAAAATACTCCGGATAATCGAGTCTAAAATTCGAGTCTTCAGATAATCGAGTTCGACCTGTTATCATATTGTATATTATGATACTAAATTATTTCAAATGTCTGCTAAAAACTAAAAAAAACGCAAAAAAAAAAATACTCCGGATAATCGATTCTAAAATTCCGGATAATCGAACCCCGGATAATCGAGACTCCGGATAATCAAGTCTCCGGATAATCGAGTCCGACCTGTAATATGCTTCTTCAGCTATATAATACAGCTTATTGGTTTGTTCGGTTATTATTGAAAAATGTTTCAAAATTACTTTGACCTTTCAATGCAATCATTAAACCACAGACAAACAGACTTAATTCTAACTATTAATATTGATATTATCATTTCCACAAATTGCTCACCGCAGCGCTGCGGTTCAATGTTTTAAATGAAAGCTTATTCAAAAAGTTACGTCTGTTTACCTGCGATAATACCATGATATCCCCTTTAACTGTGAGGTTAAGGACGCTTTAGATTTAAATCAGTTGGAAACAAAAAATGAATTTACAGTGATTTAAGTTTCTTCAAGCGTCATTTTATTGTGTTTAACATACATTTTATTCAAACAATAAAATTCACAAAGTTTTGTCAAATTAAATCATAATAAAAATGGTACTGCTTAAACATCTCATTGTTTAGTTTCGCGCAGTGGAAGTGTGGTGCATGAATTATCCTTATATTAAAAAACAGGATACAACACGAACAGGAACCTCCAGGGGAAAATTGAAAGCTGATTAAGAGCTTATTCAGGAGAAAATATGCTTCTTCAGCTAAAATATAGCTTATTCAGCTAAAATTGTTTGTTCGGTAGTCGGTAAAGGCACGGTATTACCAACCGGTGAAAACTAACGATTTTAAATTGGCTCACTACTTGACTAGCCTATTGGTCCCAAGCAAATCGATCAACGTACCCCATTCTAGTCAAAATTCTAGTACTACACTATGTTTATTTTGATTCGCTATGAAAGTTTGACAGATAAAATAAGGGGTTCGTGGATTTTCCTATGCATCGATTAGCTTGGGACCGGGGAGTCATGCTATGTGTATACACTTGCAACTGTTGCCTGTAGTGAATGTAAACATATCGGGGCTGCTAGTTTCACGGAATTCCTTTTCGCCAGTCTGTGATTACTGCCTTTACCGTCTGTAGTTGTCACTGCAAAAATGAACTGGAGCTCGTTAAAATCTGTTCATCCAGAACAACCCCAAGAATGCATCATATTGATTTACATTCACTGCACATTTGATGTTTCCCAGAAGAATGGTCGCATGAACACCTCAACCGCATGCAATAAGACGGCGAGGCGTGAGAATTTCAGCTCGCTTCCAAAGCTATCGACCATCACCGCAGAGAGCCGTGAAGAAGTTAATGGACGGTTTTAGGACTTCGAAACCGCCGCTACCGCCCTGCTTAGCCTTTCCCATTACATCACGATTGTAGACTGGACCTGCCTGGCCTTTCAGACGAAATATCAGAAGGGAAGAGAGAGAAGATGAAAAACAACAGTCGTCGACAGTTCAATGAGATCGCGATGTAGAATGGAAACTATCAATAGACGATATAAATCGAGAATAGCTCTTGTACATTACAACGAGTTCAAAGTGGTGGGTGGGATTATGACTGACGGATTGGCGTTATTTTTAGATTTCGCTCGTCGAAACATTAACATTGTCGGTTTTGTTGTTTTTACGCATCGGTTGCGGGAGCACGGTTCCAATCCAAGAGAAGTGTTTTTTTTTTTTGCGAGAAGACTGGCAAAAATCTGCCTTCTCATCTATATATAGCGCAAAATAGAAGCACTGCCGGCACACTGGTGCATGGAAAGCGAGACGGTAGCTCAAAAGACAATTCTAGGTCGATATTTTTGTCTGGGTCAGACATATACAAGTGCAGATAAGTGCTCCAAATCTAAGATGAGAATAATCTGATTGCAAAATAAGCCCAATTTAATGGATTGGGAGTGAAAGAAGATAAATTCAATAACTCCTGAATTATTTATTGAATGGCTCTGATCAGAGTCTTGTATCATTTGTATAACATTTTGTGGCACGGTTATGTTGTTAGTTACTGGTATCATAATATAATGTTATTATGATACAATATTTTGTAGCAATATTTTGTGTATAATACCGTAATAAACTGGAAAATTGGGATAACCGCTACGTCACTGTCTGTTTCAGTATAACTTTCTTAAGTTATTTTTGTTTTAATTAAAAATTGTTCTAGATCCCCCGATTTCCATACTAGTCTAACATGAAAGGGTTAACCCTAAACTTTCGTATGGTGGGTATAGCGATATGACATTTTTTCTAAAATAAGTTTTCTTCCAGAGACACCATTACAATCTTATACATCCTCACTAGTTTTGAGCTCTGATTATGTATTTAAATTTATGAAACGACAAACAGACAAACTTGTAAACGTCAAACGCAAGGGAATGGACTATGCGCGCCACAGAGTGTGGTACTACCAACTACGATACTTTTAAATTGTCCGTTAAATGCTTGTTCGATGAACAACTTTCGAGTGTTGTGTCTGTTTGTCTATGGTATGAGTAAATCTCTACTTCACATCTTTCTTACATGCTTTTTTGGTAAAAATAAATGACCAAGCAATAGAACCAATTTAGTCTAAAACAACCGTCTGCTTCATTCCTCTTCGTATGCCTGCCTGTACGTGACATTCAAATTATCACTTCGGAGTTGACAATTGATAAAGTGCAAAATAATTCCATTTGAAACCCCAGAATACGTGACGAACCTCCAAGTCTTTCCCAACTATTAGTTTACACTTATCTGGTAATTTGAGATTTCCTACGCTTTTCCACGTTACGGCAGTTGAGTTGCATTTTATTTTTCTGTGTTTTTCGTCTGCCGTGTCGTCGCGCTCATCGCTTGGCCAAAACTCGACACACAGAAGCATCATGTCATGCACATAAAGTAAGTGAAAGCCACACCAAACTATTCTGCCAGCCACAAAAAATGTCATGTTATGCCTGGTGGTCTGAGTTTTGGTGTGGATCCAACATTGTGAAACAAGGCGGCCGTAGACACGTCTGTGATGGCACTCCTATCACGCTGAGTAGCTTTGTATGTATGAAACGCATGGTGTCACTTATCTATATCTCAAGTGTCTGTGGGTCACGAGTGGATCGGTGTTGATAACGTAACACATTCCATGGATATTGATGGTTGAAATAGTAGAAAACCAATTGAACACATAAGCAATTCACAGTGCAAGTGGATAATAATTTTATGTTAACGCACTGGCTGATGCTCTAGTTTTTACTAACGGGTTACGTTTAAAGAGAAATTATGCAAATTATCACGATAAAGAAGTTATTAGAGTAAGTGCGTCAGTATTTGGCCCTAGTGGTTATCATAATTTTTTTTAAATACATAATCAATTTTTTTCGTTATTGGTCTCCACAAGTTTTGTAATAAAATTTCCCCTTTAAATGATTTTAGTACGATTTTAAAACCGTTAAATCTAAACCAACAATTTAAATAGGCAAAACAACCAAACGTAAACAATAGTTTTAAACGCAAATTTCTCGAAACTCATCCACGCAAACTTACTCTTATTTGATAAAATAAGTTTGCTCTATCAAATTCTGTTGTTAAATTACTTGGATGTGAGATTTTGAGAAATTTGCGTTGGACGTTATTGTTTTCGTTTGGTTGTTTCGCCAATTTGAAATGTTGATCTAAACATATAGAGTTGGGAACACATTAACATAAATTGACCAATTTACATACATTGTTCATTCCAGGTATGTTCTCATTTTTGGTATAAAAACATCCATTAAGTCCTCCAAAACAAAATTCAATTAAGTTATCATAAACTTAAGATCTCACGTAAGAAAATGTCCAACCCCTTCCCGGCATTG